AAAAAAAAAAAAAAAAAGATTCACAGCTTTGGAAACCCTATGGGGCAGTCCTACTCTGTCCTATAGGGTTTCAATGAGTCAGAATCAACTTGATAGCAGTAGGGGAACTTTCTTTGAGCACAGACATACAGCCCAAGAGCCAATAGAATTTTACTTTTCTGAGAGTGGTGAATTTTTATCTCTGTGTTTGGGGGTGGAGTGCACAGACCCCAAAACCCAACTGCCTGGATCCAGGTCTAATATTTAGCAGTCGTGTCACCTTGGGGAGGTTACAAAGCCTTTCTGCACCTCTTTTTCAATTTATATAAAGCAGGAGCCATAATGCAGTATGGTACCTAGTTTGGATAGAATAAGGTCATACATCGGAAATACACAGCAGTGCTCAACCAGTGAGAGCAGACCATCATTATTTTGTATAAGGCACAGGATTTTCTAGTTCTCAAAGCCCATTTGTTTTGTTATCTCATTCAATCTGAGGTCATTACCACTGTCAAATGAGATCAGATAACTCCAAGGATACACAGCTAATGGTGGCAGAAGTGGGACTTTAAATCCTACCTTCTGTCTCCTGGGACCTTTCTACCCTTCTCCCATTCTCTCATTGGCTTTAAAGCAAGATCTTTTGTTGTTGTTGTTGTTTGATGGAAGTATACACAGCCAAAGAAACACCATTTCACCTATTGCTACAATTAAGTGACACTGGATGATATTCTCGAAGTTGTGTTAACATTCTCGCTCTTTTTTCCAAAATATCCTCCCACTACTCACATAAACTCACTGCCCCTAAGCTTCCCATCCCACCTTTCGAGTGGCTGTTGTCAATTTGATCTCATACAGACACTTCTTTAAAGAAGCACATGTTCCAAGCAGATGTACTTCACTCATTAAGATTACTTATTTTTCAGTTCTAAAGAAGATTCCAGGGAATAGTTTTGTTTTAAGGTTTAAAGTTCAGAGCTTATCTCAGGGTAATATTTTCAGGGCTTCATTCAACCAAGATCTTTGCTTTGACCAACAGCATTGTTGGGGCCCAGCCCAAGAATACACTTGAAGAGGTGACTGGATGAGAACTCTGCCTGGTGGCAAACTTGCAGCATGTCCGGGGGCTGGTGGCCCTGTACCAACCCATAGCTGTGTTGTGTCCTCCAGAATACACACTTCTTGCAAAAGCCCAGAGAACCCAGGTGCCACACGTGGGATTAATGATTAAAACGGTGCTGGGCAAGTGCTTCTGAGCCTGCCTTCTTAGCAAATATCCAATCCATCAGAAGTGACAGAGCATAAACTAAGTTTCTTAAATTATAGACTCTCTGTTTGCCTCCACGCCCACAGGAAACTGCTCAGGAAGTCTGATAAGAATTGAACAATTTCAGCACAAATTGAGTCTTACCTTGAATAACACAATGGCATAGTCATATATTAAGGCAGGATCCTCGGTCTCCAGCGCGCCCTTGGCGTACCACTCGATTGCCGCCTCAGGGTTCTTGGCCACGCCCTGCTGCCCCCAGAAGAGCATTTGTGCCAATCGTTGCTGAAAGTCAACAGCAATTTAGAATAATGACTTTCTGTGTAATTCTTAATACAGACTTTAAAAGGTGGAAGGGAAAACCTAGTTGAGTCTATGTTTATACTGAGCACCAAGATTTAGCTAGAGATATCTCCTGGTGTAGACTGAATTATGTTTTTCCCAAAATATATGAAAACCTTAACCCTAGTACATGTAAACAGGACCCTGTTTGGAAAAAAAGTTTTGTTATGTCAATGAAGACATACTAGAGTAGGGTGGGTCCCCGAGCCTAATCACCCCTGAGTGGTATCTTACAAAAACAGCAGAAAACATGCAGATACAGACAGACACACAGGGGGAAGAGAGACACCACCCAAGAACCCACCTATAAGCAAAAAATGCCGAGGATTGCGGCAGACACCAGCAAGGAGGACAGAGACTGACAGAAGGAACTGACTCAGCAGAGACCTGGATTTGAACTACCAGCCTCCACAACTGTGAGATGAGGCATTTCTGTTCTTTAACACCACACACTTGTGGTATTTTTGTAATGGCAACCCTAGGACATCTTCCAGGTAAGGGTCACAGCCCTGATGGTGGACTTGTGCGAATATAAATCATTAACACAGTGGAGATTGTGTGTGTGTGTGCGTGTGTGTGTGCCTGTATCTACTGTGCATATCCCAGAGCTGGAGGGCACTTGGTCAACAATCACAACTCTTTTCTCCTCAAATTCCTCTTTACTGAGATAGCCCTTGTCCTCTTGGCCCAGGGAAGGCCATGGAGCTCTCTCTACACACCACAGCTCTTAGGGCATCTCTGTATAGCTCTTATCTCCTATCACATTATTTTTCTACACAGCCAACTCCATCATTAGACTCGAGGTTGCCAGATGTTACTCAAGATGTTATTGGAGATGCTATATGTCATTGCCCCACCGTCTCTGCCCTCACCCAGCACAGCCTGGAACATAGGAGCTGCTCAACAAAGACTTGCTGAATGAAGGAAGAAATGTTCATTGTTAGGAAAGTGAAAGCAGGTTGTTGTTGGTTGTCGCTGAGTAGGCCCTGACTCATGGCAACTTCATGCACAACAGAACAAAACCGTACTTGGTCCTTCACCATCCCCATGATTAGCTGCACAACAGACAGCTGTGATTGACAGGTTTTTGTTTTTTTTTTTTGACTGGTTGATTTCCAGAAGTAGACCAGGCCTTTTTCCCTCACTAGACTCAGTCTGGAAGCTCTGCTGGAATCTGTTCAGCATCATCACAACACACGAGCCTCCACTGACAGACCTGGTGGTTCCACATAAAGTGCACTGAACCCAGGTGTCCTGCGTGCAAGGTGAGAACTCTACCACTGAACCACCACCACCCTCTACTGCAGCATATCTGGTCTATTATGACTATGGCCTCGTCAGTTGAGTGATGTGTCCTCTAACCTGAGCTGCAGCATTGCCTCGGGTGGCTTCATGCTTTAACCACATAAAGACGTCTCCATCTTCTTTGGTTTGTACTTTGAGTATTTCATCATCCTTCAATCTAATTGCTTCAACATATGCCTGAAAGAGAAAGAAAGGAATGAAAGAATGAAGAAATGAAGGGGGAAAAGAGGGAGGGAGGAAAGAAAGAGAAAAAGATGCCCAAATATTATGGGCATGCAAAAGTCATGACATTATGTATTCTTAAACCAGCAATTACTCAAGCAAAAATCCTATGAATAGTTGAAATACAATGCATGTCTACAATACAGTAAGATCCACTTCTTTGTCAATGGACGTATCGCACCTCATGAATGTTTATTCCTGTCAAAACTTTTTGCTTTGGGAGACCAACATTTTTATCCCATTTCAAAGTCTACTTGGTGCAGCTGATTTCAGAGTCAGATTACACACAGCATCAAAAAAGGCAATCAATATTTTTTAAGTATAACCTTATTTTTTTCATCCCAAAGCGTTATTATCCTGCATGACTAATCCCTTTTAGTTAGCAGGCTCAGCTTCCAATGACTTCCGGCTATTTCCAAAAATTAAATCTACCCTGAAAAGTAGAGAGCCTGTTTACCTCTGAGGAGGCAAGAAGGAATGTGCTGGGGGCTCTGAAGACACAGCCTCCCAGGTATCGGGCTTCTTTGAAGAAAATAAGATTCACTTCAGTGTATTAATGCTGGATGTTTGTTGGAAAACCACTGCCATTGTTTTGTTGTCTCCCCTTAAAAATTACATTCTAGCAGTGCCGTAGGGAGGTGTTGGAGGGGGCTTCCATGCCCAGCACAGATGGGCAAAGAATTGGATCAGGGCTTGCTGGGAAAAGAAGCCTCAGAGAACAAGGAGTCAGATCCTATTTCCCTTCTGACCCTCTTTAAGAAAAGTCCTTAGACTCACAAATTTGAGGCTGCAGCCCTGTTCCTTAGTATGTCTCTCAACTGCCTTCTCCCCCCCTGTGTAGTGGCCGGGAGCTCTGGTAGCATAGTGCCTAAGGCAACTGACTGCTAACCAGAAGGCTAGTAGTTCAAAACCACCAGCCACTCCTCAGAAGAAAGGTTGGGCAATCTACTTCTGTAGTGATACTGCCTCGGAAACCCAAGGAAGGGTCACTAAGAGTTGGGTCCGTCTCGACAGCACATAACAACAACAACAACAATATGTGGAAGCCAGAGGTCCCTTGCAAGGGCATTAGGGAGGCACTTTGGGAAACAGGCCTGGGATCTGCTTCTGAAAGGTCAGAGCCTTAGAAACCTTAGGGAGCAGTTCTGCTCTGCACACATGCAATTGTGATGCATTGGAACCAACTTGATGGCAACTGACTACAACAGCAGAGGAATGGGACCAGTGACTAAGCCTCAGGTTCTGTGCTAGGATTCAGAACCCAGCAGCTATCAATTTCTGCTGAGTGTATTATCTTGGGAAGCCACCAGCCTGGTACCAACAGTTAGAATAAGAATGTCACCACCATTCTGAAACCTCCTCTGAGCCAGGTGCTTAATGGGGTTTTTTTCCAGGGCTTCCAACCCATTCATTCTGGTTCAACCCCTTGCTGAGAAACTGTATTTCTCATACACTGTATTTCAGTTGTATTTGTACCATTGTATTTCAAATACACTGAGTCAGAATCTACATTTGAACAAGATTTGTAAGAATCACCTGGGGATCTTGTTAAAATGTAGACTGTAATTCAGTATATCTAGGACGGAAATGCAAATTCTCAGCAGGGGTCGAATCAGAATGATTGGGTTCCAAGACCTAAGTTTTTTTAATTTAATCCTCAAAACAAGACTTTGACCCAAGCACTAATCATCAACCAACTCACTGCCATTGAGACAATTTTGACCCACAGAGACCTTATAGGACAGAGTAGAACTGTCCCACAGAGTTTCCAAACCCTCCAGAGGAGCGGCTAGTGGGTGTAAACTATTGACATTTTTGGTTAGCAGTCAAATGAATGCCTGAACCACTGTACCATCAGAACTTCCTGACCCAAGTACCACTGCCCCCAGTTTATAGGAAAATAAATCAATGCTTAGAAGGTGAAACATGGAACCCAAGGTCACATCTGTAAAGCTATCACTGGATGTCGGGTTAGTTTGACTCCAAAGACAGGGCTCTTACCCACTCCCCCACGATGTGAGAAGGCCCAGAATCCCATCTGGGCACAAGCCACTGTATTCGGTTCCCTTTGCAAAGTGTACAACCAATGACTGCCAGGTTGCTCTATACTCTGACAGCCTGGAGCTGGTCTGGAACTGCAGCTGCTCTGACAGGGAATCACCAGCCAGAGGCTTTTTGTTCAACTGGAGAGTTGGGGTGTTTACATTTTCAGTTTTCTTCTCCTTGTGTTGTTTTCTCCTCCTCTTCTTTCTCCTTCTCATGAAACTTGAATGGAAGACATAACAAATGGAGACACAGTCCCCATCCTATAGGGATTTATACTTAGGTGTTTCACATCAATATCCCCATTTTACGTATGTGGACACTGAGGCCCAGAGAGATTAAGTAACTTGCCTAAGGTCATATATTTAGTGTTTTAATTTAAGAGTCAAACTCTGATTGGCTGGCTCTGAAGCCCACACTCTTCATCCCAGCCTCACAACCCTGCAAAGGACTCGATGTATCTGGGCCAAAGCATATGGCGTCGGGCAAAGTTGGAAGAATTGAGGTGACTGTGCAAAAGAAAAGGAGCTCTGGTGGCATAGTGGATAAGGCATATGACTGCTAACCAAAAGGTTGGCAGTTCAAACCCACCAGCCACTCCTGGGAAGGATGATGGGGCAATCTACTTCTGTAAAGATGTATTGCCTTGGAAACCCAATGGGGGTTGCTATGAGTTGGAATCAACTCGAAGGCACTGAGTTTGGTTTTTGAATATGGTGCATAAGAAATGTTTTTGTCTTTTGTGTCCCTGTTCCTTGACCTAACCTTCTCTTCCCTCTCCCCTGGGTGGTATCATCAAGTTTCGCAGCAGGGTGGGGTCATTAAGAGCAAGATCCGTCATATCAGACCAACAGACCCTGAATTCTAACTCACCACTAACTAGCTGTGGGCCATGGACCAGTTGCTTCATTTATCTGAGACTCAGCTCCCATATCTGTAAAATGGAACTTGGAACACCACTTGCTATTATCAAAAGCACTAGACTCATCAACCATTCCTCCCCCCATATAATGCAAAGAGTCAGAAAGACCTAGATTCAAACCTAGACTCTACTCTCATTTGCTGTGTGACTTTGGACAAGTTTGTTAACTTCTCTGTGTCTTACTTGCCTCATCTGTAAAATGGGAATCACCCATGTGGTAGCTTCATAGAGCTGCATAAGAATTACACAAGATTGTTTATAAAGAACTTAGCAGAATGTATGGCACATGGCCAGTTTCCAGTAAATGGGAACTCATCATTTTTAGGCTTATAGTTCTCTAAAGTTAAAAGGCTGATAGCAGTTTAGAATATTAGCCCTCCTACTGGTATTTGCGATTTTGTACAATTTAAAGCCTTATGTCTTGGGGACAGCTCAAGCTCACTGCTATTGAGTCGGATCGGACTCATAGCGACCTTTCTTTGGGTTTCTGAGGCAGTATCACTACAGAAGTAGATTGCCAAACCTTCCTTCCGAGGAGTGGCTGGTGGGTTTCAACTGCCAGCCATCTGGTTAGCAGTCAAATGCCTTAGACACTACACCACCAGAGCTCCTCTGGAGACAGTTCTATCTAAGAGATTTTAAGCATTAAAAAATGGAAGGACAAGGATCTGGGGTGGCAGTGCTGGGGACAGAAACATTTTACAGAGCTTGGGCTGTGTGCTGGGCTCTACTGACACATGTTATCTGGATGAACTAATTCAAGTTGCAACAATTTTGTGAGGTTCAGACCATCATGATGCCCATTTCATAAGTGAGAGACTGAGACAGAGGTAAGGGGAATTATCCAAGATTTTACACCCAGTGACCAGTAGACCCAGAACCCTGAACCCATTCAAACCCAGCCCTGATGCCCACTCTACCACATTGCCTGCCACACCCCAGCAGGTGGTTGTTGGCCACTCTACCACATTGCCTGCCACACCCCAGCAGGTGGTTGCTTCTCCAAAGTTCGAAGGTCACCTAGCATCATATCAGAGCCACACCCTAGGGCCTTCTGGGGAAGCTGACCAACTGCAAACACATCTGATGAAGGAACAAGCCTTAAAACGGAACAGCATTCGGCTGTTCACTTGTTCAAATAAGATTTTGTGACCAGGAAACAATGCCTCAGAGGAAAAGGTGACCAGGCCAGGAAGAAGCTGCAGAGAAGCAATGGCGGGGACAGGGGACAAGAGCAGGGTGGACTCTGACAGGTCCTGATAATCAATCCCAGACTGACCAGTTTGAGGGCTCTTCTGTGGCTTCCAAGGGGTTCTTTTTGGTGCTGTGTTATAAAATCAATGTCTCTAGAATCAGGCCACCATGCATTTTTCAGTTTGTTGTGCTTTGGTGGCTTGGGTGTTTGCTGTAAGTCTGAAAGCTATGCTACTGGTACTTCAAATACCAGCAGGGTCATCCATGGTGGGGTGGATAAGTTTCAGTGGAGCTTCCAGATGAAAAGACTACACAGTAAGGCCTGGCAATCTACTTCTGAAAAATAAGCAATGGAAACCCTATGCCCAAGAGAATACTGTCCAGCTGGCTTGCTTTGAACACTTCATCAGGAAAGCTCAATTGCTGGAGGAGGACATCATGTATGGGTGGTAGAGAGCCAATGAGGATGAGGCCGACCCTCAGTGAGATGGACTGGCACAACAGCCTAAGTGATAGAGTTGAACACTCTGGTGAACAGGAGGTGACTTGGGTCCAGGCAACATCTCATCCTGTTGTACATAAGGTAGCCATAAGGTGGAGTGGACTGATGGCAGCTGTTTAGAATCAGGAGGGCAGCATTCAAAGATGTGGCTGGGTCAGCCTACAAACTAGAGAGGCAGCGTTGATGTCAGCTATGCCAGTGATTACAGGCTAGGAGGGTGAGGGAGGAGGATGGGCGATGGGGAAAGTGGTGGAGACAGAGGAGGGAAAGGACGGAAGAAAAAGAAGAGGGAAG